GAGTCACATTTATTTCAGCGGAAAAACTAAAAAATTCTCCGAGAAATTCGGGAAGACTGGTAGGAAGTTGGGAAAATCTCGGGAAAGAGGTCGGTAGGATGGGGGGAGGGGAGGGGGAATCGCATCAGACGAGGGAATTAGGGGAGGGGCTCGTACTTTCCGAAAATTCTCCCCAGCGGCAGGACGTGCCCTGATCGTTACACTCACAAGGAGGGAGGCAAGTCACTTCCAGCAAAGGGAATGGGGAGATTCAATTGGTAGCAGTAATGATGAAGTCAACATCAACCAGGAAACACTTACAGTGAGCTATCCGGTTGTGGACGTCGGTCTGCGGGAGCGTGATGCTCCCAGAGACGATTTGCTGCATCGTTGCCAATAGCCTGCATCACTGCCAGAAATTCCTACAGGCCAGGCGTCCAAGTCAAGAGATCGAACCCTAAACGTGCACGTTTAGATGGGTTCAGCAACAAAATTCAAGGAAAAGTTCATAACTATCAAAGAATATGTCGACAGATTCTTAATTATTGAATTTCTAGATATTTCAAGTAAAACTCCAGTATGTTAGACTTACCGTGAAATATGAGACCCTAGATTTCGATGAGTTCCAGAACATTCGATGCATATCAAAATGCCAAGATTGAGGCTTGCCCAGTCGGGAGATGTTTGGCCACAGTCCGCACAACGATCATTGCCGGGCAACTGGCGAAGAGCCAGTACCTGAAATAAAAACCATGCAGGAAGGTGATTAAGGACCAAAAAAAGTTTAGAAAATGAAGATAGAAAAAGGCGAACCTCTTCTCTATCACCACGAGCTCTGGTACTGGGCTTGCTCATCTGGTTCTGGAGAGCTTTTTCAATCTGCTCTTCAATAGCTGCCACCCAAGCGTCGCGTTCATCGGCTGCCACACAAAACTCCCACCGCTTCTGATCAGAAGTGATGATCTGAAATCATGAGTACATCAGACTTGAAGGCACGGTCCACATCAGGTTATAGAAGTTGAAAATATGGCGTCGGGAGGGTAAGTGGTCCGCGACGAACAACCTTGTACCGGTTTCGCGGCAAAAAATTGTAAGGGAGGGGCGCTATAGCGCAATATAGGTTCAGTGACGCCTCCTTTTCTCCAGTGACTCCGCCTCCAGACTCCGCCTTCAAGGCCCGCCTTTCAGTGAAAACGAAGCTGCAGGACAAAAAAGCAAAAATCGTCACTTATGCGGCGGTCGTAGAGTTCTTATGGGGGAATCAGCTGAGTAGATGAGGACGTAGTGTAGGAGATGGAGTTAATTGGGCACGTAGAAACAGGTATCGGAATGGGGGTTTATCTAGGGCAGTTGGCATGTTTTTTCTTACGGACTTTATACAAGCGCATTTACCTCAAAGCACTCGTCGTCTTCGTCGGTGGCTTTGCCAGCAGATCCAATCCGACGATTGCCGCCTCGTCTCTTCTTTTGCCCAGCAACGGTTTGGGGAGTCAATTGAACAGCAGGAGATGCTTCTTTTGCATCATCACTGCCTCCAGACGTGCCTTCTCCAGAAACACCACCTCCTGGAAGAAGAGGTAATTGTCTTTCAAGATCTCCAAGCTTTTTCGTTATTTAAACACTGAAAGTTCACGAAAACCTCCATGAAAACCGTTCGAATCACTCACCAACGTCACTTCTCCGAGGTTCGTACGCCCGCAGCGCCACAGATCCGGCTGAATTCGTCGAACTCGGCTCTTCCGATTGACTTGTCACCATTCCACGTTGAGTGTTTCGAGGACGTTGCCTTCCAGCTATTCGAACTGTTGCCAGACCAAGAAACACCTTAACGAGTGCGGGTTTAGCTGATAACAAATGGGAATTCGAGCACCGAGAGGAGCGACTCGGGGACGTGTCAATATATTCCTGCATACCTCCTTTCCATGGCTCGGTTTGTCTCGATAATCTTTTTGAGTATGGTGATACGTCAATCGGCCGTCTCCATACAAGCACACGTACTTCTTTTTCCATTCCCTAAAATTATGTCTAAATCAGTATGAACGGACACTACTCACAACTGCTTCTATGAGCAGATAGTCCACAGAGCTGACAAACAATTCATGTTTTCCTCATAGAAAACTGCTTACAAAGGCCCGGTTTGTCAAGAAAAAAATGAAGTTGCAAAATTCGGAGGACAGACACTTTCTATTGCAAAATCAACGTTTAGTGAAGGTTTGAAAGCGGCGTGATGGCTG